TTGAGTGAATGTCTCGACCCCTTGGTGTCCCAACTGGAGCAGGTCTCATTCTGATCAGCCAAATGGGTCCAACATGTTGGGACAAAATCGATGGCCAAGTCAGAAGCCTTTGCCTTTGCCCCCATGTGCGAAGCCTACTCGTGGCTGAATCCTGAAACCTCAATGTGTAGGCAAAAATGAAGTACATGGACGGTCCAGGTTATTTATATCTTTACTTTACATTTGATATAATTTTTGCGGTGAACCTCACAGAATTGGGTCACCATCTTCCGGAGGGGGAAGACACAAAAGTAAAGTCACTAATGGGACCCCCAAAGTATACGTACTATAGTCACCATCCGTGGGACTGGAATAGCTACGTACACTAGGATCATGAATGATCATATATCTACCTGGTATGAAACGTTTCGATACATGGATGATTTGGGAGTGGGCACCTACCGTAGCAGATAGTGACTTAATCATCCAAACAACAGCCAAAGCCCCCACTGCTCTGCTTATCTCCGATGGTGCGCGTTCCTACAAAGAATTGGGATTGGTTGTTGACGAGTAAAAGCCTTTGGCCTCAGTTTCCACCTCTCCAACCCCTGCTTGGGCCGGGGGTGGTCTTCCAAACTCCAACCACATCTGGCACCCACCCCAGCCACCTTCTCGGAAGATAGTTGGAGCATGTTGGAACAATTATTAGTGTCTGTTAGGGGCACGACAAACCATCAAAAACCTGGTGTTCGTAGCAAAAAAAACATGGTTTTGTATGTGAAAACCTTTATATAGTTTCATTTCATGGGTTTTCTCGGGCCGCTGGTATTAGGGATTAGTTTTGATGACTCTTCTTCACTCGCAAATCTCCTGAGCACCCGACCGCGCCACCCGCCACCAACCCTGTCGTGCCGCCCACGGCAATGCCTCGGCGAATGACGAGAAGCGGCGAACGACTGGCGTGCATACCTGGTTCTATGAGGGACTGAAACCGAGTGAAAGGATCCAAGGCGCTCCCAACCCCTCAGCAGTCAGGTGAACCCTCCCAACCCATCTGGCGGATTCCATCAGGTGATCATCCATGCTCTCCCTTGAACAGGGCCACTTTGGGCATGTACATAAAGAAGCGACCTGACCATCATGATCACCAACTCTTGTTTATCTTCGTTCGTTCATTTTTGAAGCCAACCATCTCTCCCTCCCATCTGTACCACTTGCACCAACCGTCCATACACTGCCATACACCGCCACCGACGTGTTCAACAGCACTGCACTCGACGTCTCACCACCGACGTCTCACCGGTCCAGGAGGTCTCTCCCACTGCCGCTGAGAGGCCAATGGGAATGGAAAGCCCAAAGGTGAAGACCGCTGGAACCAAGCCCACCAGGCCTCCCACGAGGCCACCACCACAGGCCTTGGTGGCAGAGGAGGCGACCGCCGCGAGTCTATGCGCGTCGTACACCGTCGTGAAGGAGCATTTGTGGTGTGGGTGGAAGGCCATGACTCGACAGCCGTGAACAAAAACAGAACGGCATGTGATGCTATTTTTAGTTCTGATGGGGGCTTGAGTTGACAAGGGATTGTGAAGTGGACTCATGAGTGTTTGGAGGCCATTGTATACAATCCCAAACGCTCCATGGGACTGCCATATATGCCTACATTGACCCCTCTGGCACCACCCCAACTGATCGGCATATATGGCAGTCCCATTAGTCGCGTCTGGGAATTGTCTTACAACCGCGATCTGAGATGCGATCTGAGACTTGGACGATTTCAACTCCGCGCGACTCTAAGGCGACACGAGTCGAGTCCTACAGTGGCGACGCGAGTCGAGTCCTTACAGTGGTCTCAGAGTAGATGGCACGGACCCCAAGATGTCCTTTAGATGGGGGTTCAATGGGGTCCATATAAGCCACCAAACTTGGGGATTGTGCCATCTGTATGAAAGCGTTCGAACCAATGTCTCATAAGTGTTGCTGAAGGGTTTTTGTTCTTGGTGCAAATGGGGGGGAAGACTGGCCAGCCAGAGTTGCATCTGCCTCCAAGAAAACCGCTTTTGGTGAAGGAGTATCATCTGTAGGAGCAACACAAAAAATAAGCAATATGAACATCAATAACCAATATGATCAACCTGATTCCACTTCATAGTTTCATCCCACATTTGGACCATTTTGGATGGTGAACTGCCCAGAATTGTTTGGGAGTTGAGTTGAACCGTTGGGATCCAAAGTTCGAGAGGTCAACCTCAATTGCGCCACCCAAAAGTCACCCGCCGACTGAGTGCTCCCGACGCCCGCGGCGGCGCCTGCCGTGCCCAGAGCGATGGAGCCGCAGCCGGCACCCAGGGCCGAAACCTGCGGCTAGTCGTTGCGTGAAGTCGTGAAGTGGACCACCTGACCTGAGACCCTCGGAAGGTCTCTGGACCTTCCACTCCAAGTACCTTCTCAGTATCTGGATTCGTGTTGCTTGCATGGGATCTATGAGTCAGAGGTACAGTTCTATGTAAGAAAATAACACTCCCCGAGTCGAATCATGCATGGTTGCGTGAAGTGGGAAACCACCTGTTGAAATATATATATATATATGGATTGCATGGATATCCGAACTTTTAGGAGGGAGTGTCCGGGAGTGTCGACAGTTTTGATGAGAGAAGCTGAGGCCGCTGTGGGCATTTCACGAGCTAGCTGTTCATGTTGACATGGATGGAAATTAGCGAGACCTGAATCCATTAGTTGGGTGGGTAGGTCTCCTTGTTAACATTCACAACCCAAACCTTTGATGCTGTGTGCTCTGAGCGCTTTTTCACCCTTGTCAGCAAGGCTCTTTGTCCAAACTGGAGGGTTGAATCCAAGCCAGCAGATTGCCCTGCAGGTGACTTGGAGCTAATTTCATTAAAGCTGCTCATACAAAAATAACAACTACTATACTCAATGAGGTATTATATGTCAAAGGACGAGCTTTGGACCTGGGTCAAACTGGACCTGGTTCGGGCGTCGTGTACATCATCGAGGCGGTGGTCGGAGAAAACTGAACCATTTCGGGATCCAAGAGTGTTGCATGAAGGAGGGGTCATGATTCATAGCTGCCCATGTTGGGAACAACATCAAGATGTGGGTCATTGTCTTATTTAATGTTCCATGGTCCATGATTGAACATGAAAAAACTTGCTAATTACAGTGGATTCTGCATTGCTGTTGGTGAATAGAGCCCCTTGCTGCATCGTCCATCGTCGATGGTCGCTCAGATCTGCAGGCCTGGGTTAGGGGGTTGAAATCTCATCAATAGTCCAGTACCAGTATATCTTATCCCAGACCATCCATGGGACTGACCTATGTACCGATCAGCTGTTGTGCTTGAAAAGGGGGTCAATGTAGGTAAATGTTCCATGCCATGGAGTGTCTGGGTAGTATATCTGGTCTTTAATCATGTCCTATAAGGATGTAAACATGGGACTCGTGAGTATCACAGAATAGCTTTGACTCGTGTAGTAGCCACTTGCAAATCATGGACAAGATCTTCATAAAACCATCATGGATGACACGGCTAGGAGAGCCTCAGTCATCCTCTTCACCACCAGTACTGTTGGAGGAAGACATCCTGCAACAGCTATGGCTGTTCCAACACCATGATGCATAATATCAACAAAAAGAAGCAGGTGGCACTAGGAACCGCACCGTCCCCCGAACCGCGCCCGTTCTTTTCGGCCGCTCAACCGCTCCGCTCAACCCGCCTGCACTTCTCGATTCGACGCCGCGCTCTTCACGAAGTCCGCCGAGGCCTTCGCCTGAAGACGGTCCGGTCGAGGAAGTTCCTTATAGACAAAAAAAAGGTGGCCTTTCTAGACCTTTCTAGATTCTAGATCTCAGAGATTCGAGACCTTTCTAGACGAACAAATATTTATCGCTAGGGCTCGCTCCAAGTACCTTCTTGGAAGGTGTTAGGGGAGGGTGCCAGGAGGGTCCAGTCATACCTTCATTTCGGTGGTACGACTGGAGCCCTGTCGGGTACATGCAAAGCATGTCAACAACTATCTCCGAAGGCAGCTCAACCGCTTTCAATTGGTTGTTTTGGACCTGCTAGTTCTTGTTCCTGTGGTCCGCGCACACCATGCGTCTGACAGGTCTGGTGGGTCCGGTATGACGGTGCGGTACCACACTTCAACCGTTCGGTCTGGAACTTCGACCACGGTTCCTTCCCCGAAAACCATGAAACACCGGGGCTGCGAAAACTCGAAAAAAAAACAGTTCACCCAAGTGAACATACCTTCAAACAGGAACGCGTTCCTGACACCTTCACTTGGGTATGAGAACGCCATGGTATGAGAACGCCTTCCTTCATACCGTTCCGTTTTGAAAACAGTTCACAAAAAAAGAACGCCTTCCTTCAAAATGAGGCATTCTCGATCTGTGGTGCTGGACGCTTCCGCATGGAGACTTCCAAATGGAGACTTCAGAAGTCAACATCCGAATCGATCACCCTTGTTACTTGAGACGTTCATCCTTGCCCTGTGGTACACAGACTCTGTTCAAACACATAAGCAAAGATGTTTCATCAACAAACACCTACCATGAATGTACCTGGGTGCTGTGTGATCATATACATATTACATTATATAACATAAGTTAGCCCGGGGCCCCCTTGACATGCAAAAAATGTGAAAAAATATCACCTGCAACAAAAATCTGCGCTGGACGAAGAATGCGCTGGCCATATTGATTTCTTTCCGTCGATCTCTACTGCTTGGTTTGGGGATACTTTACACTTCATTGGAATCATGAAAGTGGAGTTCACCACCCGAATCGTGCTTATGGGGCCATGCCATCCACTTCCCTGATGATTCCAAGGAGGGCAACTGCCCAAACCATCCAGGAGACTGGAGTAATTAGTTACAAACATCTACCATATATTTATGACCCATCCATCTGGTCGCAACTCTTTCAGTCCCTTTCATCTCGTCTGGGCTGGGTAACTGGAAGGAACGCTTTGTATCTAGAGGATCTCTGTCTCTATGCGAATATATGTCCATCACTGGGTACTTGAAGAACCAAAAAAGAAACAACGACAGAAACAACCGCCGAATCCGCTGCCCACTCTTTTGGCTCATCTGCGCACACGGACCACTTGGTTTCCCAAGGATAGAAGGTGCCTGGGCGCGATCATTCGGCCGATGACACCCTCTCAGTTGGTTGTGATCAGGTTTAACGTGCTGGTGATGATGATTTGATGGTTCGATACGCACCAAACACCGCCGGAACAAACACCTACAACCTAGGTCCGAATCACAGAGAATCATCCAAAGGGCCAAAGAGGGCCAAAGAAACCTGGAGAAGCTTCACGCCCCTGTGCATCATGTTGTTTGTTTTGTTCAGATTTGCATCATATTTCTGATATGTCCTTCCTGTGGGTGCTCCGCAATGCTTCGCAATGGTCCTTCCCGTGATGACTTCCAAGTACTTCTGCCTAGTGCCAACATCGGCACTACGCTTGGCTTCAAAATGACATGGCTATGGCTATGGGTCACCCAGAGACCAACCGGTTGACCACAGAAATGAACAAAGGGAGGCTCTACAAGGCTCTACGTTTGGGCACCCAGCCCGGGTGAGTGAAAGGGGCCCCAGGTGCCAGCTTACTCCCAACGATCTCGCAGCCTTCTCGCAGCCCTTCGAACTTCCAAACAGAAGTGGAACTGACTTCCCTCCGCGTGGATCTATACATGGAACCTCTTTTTCACCGGACAAAATGGTCTTGAAGACGAATGTCCAGGACTCACAGGACTCATAGACAACCCATCCGTTTTTACGTGCCACGTCTAGCCAGACGTGGAATCCAAGCCACAGAGACGCACTCTGGATGAGACTGGCATGTATGTCCGACCCATCTTTCTTCCCTTTTTGATCCTACCCCTCTGTAAGTGAAGACGGATGAAGACGGTGTCCACCGTCCCAAAATGGGGCCCGTTGGGACGTCGACTTCGGGGCCCAATGGGACGAGGATGCCGATGCTGAGGGTCACAGAGGCACGCTTGAGGATCTCAAGGGGCTCCTGGTGGAAACAAATGGGGGCACAAGTAACCATCGCGACAGGCAGCAATCAATAGATTCTGAGAGATTTGAAGGAACCAGAAAAGGACAACTATATGGAAAACTATGCATGTCAAACACGTTGGACTAAGTTCGTACTATCTTTTGTTTCTCTTGGTTCACAGTTGATAGGTAATCAGCAATCACATGCTGTTGATGGACAAAATATGACAAAATCAGCCTGGACCAACAACCAGTGGCCGGCGTGACCCGCACTAGGACTAGGACTGGAAAACAGACAACAAGATCCTCCAAACCTGCAGGATGTCCGGGTCGAACACTTTGTTGAGCCACATGGATATCGGTCACAAAAGACCATGGGCCTCATGATGTGTTTGTTATGTTGTTCTGCGCATCGCTTCTGAAAAGTCTGGCGCGAAAGACGCCCTATGCCGATGCCGACTTTTCGCTAGAACCATGGTTCGGTCAGCCCGCACAAATCCAAGCATTTGAGTGGTTAAAGATTCGGACTTCAGACTTCAACCTGGTGAAAATGCCAAGCAGACTGCTTCAACGACCGTCACTGACGGTTCCACCGAGCAACAACGACCGTCACCGTCCCCTGGGTCCCGCTGTTTTGGGAAACGCTGCGGCAGGTCCTGTACATCCATCATGTGGTGGTTTTCACGCGTGACAGCACGAGCGGCTTGCCGCGTTTCATACCGCCAAAGAAAAGGTTACCGTTTCTCAATTTAGGGCATTTAGGCATTCACATCCTTTCTGAGGTACGGTGATGTGTTGTCTTCACTGTTCCGTAGGTGCCAGGAGGGTCCAAGTCATCCAAGTCTGAGGTTCGGTACGACTGGATCCCTTCCGGGGAGTTCACCCCACGGGTTGAACCGGGTTGATCAGGTCATGCACCGGCTAGTTCACCCCACGCATGTCGGGCTCCCTTCCTTCGTGTGTTCGTCCACCCGCCACGAACGCCGCGTGGTCGGTCGCACTGGGGAGTCGAGGCGCCCGACTCGGCGGGTCCTTGGGGAGGACGTTGCCCCACTCGGCGTCCTGGAACCTCACCACGATCCGCCCATCCACGCCTGCAGCGGCGCGACACGGTTCTTCTAAAGCACCTTGGGTGATGGTGAGATGGTTTTGGATTATATTGGATTTTAGAGCTCTCGAAATGTGAAGAGGGATGCTTTCTCTCACCCTAACACTTTATAATAATTACACTTTGGCTGACAAGTAGAGGGAGTTCTCGTTCTCTCATGTATAAGTACCTCTGACTTGTGATGCTGCTGTGTTCGGCGGTGCAGAGCAGCGGTCTCATGTACTGTAAAGGACTTAACATTTGTATAAATATATAGTAATACCTGAGCTCTAGGTTGACATTCAGTCAAATCCGCTGAGAGCGATCTAAAATGATCTAATTTGGTCAACGGGCGCTGAGAGCGGCTGGCAAAACAACAGGTTCCTGTTGTTCTGAAACGAGATTGTCATGATTCACCAAGAAATTGAAAGAAATGCATCACCATGATATGGGGTTGGTTTTCACACCATTTCCCACATAGATCCAAACATGTGGGGTCTTTCCACTCATAAGACGACCTATGCTGTTCAGGGGCGGGGGGTGAAATCACCGACCCGGTCACCCAGTCGGTCACCCACACACCCAAACGAAGTCATGGAAACAAAACGTTGAGCAAAACACATCGCCCAGCTGATCAAAAAGGTATGTGGACCCTCAGGGTTGGAATCCTTCATAAGTGAATGTTCACGAGCTTTTTCAGCTCGTGAAAACCTAGGCCCAAACAACATCCAATCTTCCCCGTCAGCTATTTTTTTTCAGTGGTTCACATCAGTTCACTGCAAATTCACGGAGGGCGCCTAGAAACACCGAGAAGCGAGTCCAAGAGCTCTCACCTGGAGAGCTGGAGAGCGGTGCTGGTGCGGTGCGGTGTTCGGATCGCGCGGGCGCGCGGGAAATCGGAGCGCCCAAACGAGCGAAAAAAAACCGAGGCAACGCAACAAAAACGGAGGGATGAAGGTGTGTGAAGAATTCAGAGTTCGGATTTTCCATGTTTCTGGGTGGTGTTGGGAACCGCACATGAGTGGAGGTGTTGGGTACCGCTCCCCCCTCCAATAGGCACCGGGTTGAGCTGCCCATGAGATGCCTTTTGTTGCTTGAAGGTCATGTCATCTTTTCAATCAACACAACAGTAGCTCGGCTCGAGGCACTGATCTGTTTTCCGTGTGAAACCCAAATCCGAGTGATCCCGACAACCATAACCATGGAAGATGTAGCTGCTAAGGCCCAGTGGACATGGTCCAAACTGAGTTTGAACTTCAAATCCCATCCAGATTTTTTTCAAGTTGGTGGCACTTGAATGCATTGAAGTCAACCATGGTTGGGTATAAAACTCTGCAAGGAAAAAGGACACATACACATCTGGATGTCCGAAAACTGCTGAAACTAAAGTGCGTTTGCAATCATTGAATCACTCTGTGAGAGCTGATTCAAACAATCGAGGTCACCGCGCATTGTTGCTCGCAAAGCATCATAGCAGGAGCACGTTTAGCCTCTCCAGAATTAACATAGCAACCCACAAATTTGGAGACCATCAAATTTCTCATCTGGTCGCTATGTTTGTTCACACACGTTCTTTTGTTTTTTTTAAAGGAACTCTTAGACTCAAACGGCAGAGTTCCAGCGTTTCAGTTCATTGGATTCTACCTGCCGTGTTATACATATTTATAGTTATAATGGTCGTGTTTCAAAACCTGGATACCTTGGCTAAGGTCAACCTACCAGGGTGTTCGGGTTCTGGTTTTTGACCCATCTCGGTCACTTCAGTTGGACTTTTCTGTGGATCAGTGGATCGGTCCGGACCAGCAGATTTCTGAAAAAAACTGTTCGTGTTCTCAAAGTGCCAAGCATGACAATGCAATGCCGCAATGCCCTCCCTAGCCAGTTTCATGATATTCTCAAGCGGCATGTTGGAAACGAGATGCTGACTGGTGCTGATTGTCACCCTGAAACCACATCATCTCAGTTGGTAGCACTAGACTGCACTGCAGCCTGACGACCAAAATGAAACAAACGAGTTGAGGTGCAATACATGTATGGGGATTCCCTTGCTTTGTCGCGAATGCCTTCCGAACTGGGTTCCGGCTGTAGTCAACACAGACATTTGCCAAAACCTTTTTCAGTTCATGAGTTGGCATGTTCTTCTTACCATCCATCTTCTCGGCTGCCACAAGGTTCAAAGTGGTCCTGATCCTAGGGGTATGGACACACCCCTGTGTTCAGATTTCAACCAAACCCATGGCAACAAGGAAGGACTCACTTTCAAGTCCTCCCGGCACCCTGCAACCTTTTTCATCTGCTCACAATTGTTATCCAAGACCCAGATCGTTGAACTTCCCTTACACAAGATTTGTTCACCACCTGCCAAGTGAGGGTTGTTAGACTTTATCAGGGCTCTTCTCCTCTCCTCTCCTCTCTCTTCTCCTCTTACACCGGACCTCAACAGCAAGCGCCAGATCGTGGGCACTGCCGGACCTCAGCTGCAAGTGCCAGATCGCAGTGGGCACTACCGGACCTCAACTGCAAGTGCCAGATTGCAGTGGGCACTACCGGACCTCAACAGCAACCGCAGATCGCAGTGGGCACTGCATTGTCGCGCTTGTTGAGCAGATGGACCTCGGTCCCATATTCCTGCTGAATTCATTCGGTACCCCCGCCCTGGATTCTCAAACATGCTCGAACAATCAGTCATCCTCAAACATGCTCGCGCTCACTCAAAACGATTCTGTCAGCACACATAGGATCCGGCCAAGCTGTGCAGGGTGTTGCACCGCTCCCCGGAGGTGTAGAACGGGTTGCTAATGGAGCGCAACTCCGCCAGTCTTGGTTCTGGTAGGCCATCAACGTGGAAGACCACCGCTTTGTGATCGCCGAAGGCTTCCTGCGTGAAAGACTAAGCGGAGTGGCCCTTAAGGCCAGGAGACAAGAGACACACAGTAGTCAATCGCTCGGTCACCTTGTCATCTCGTGGGCAAAAATTGGTCCCGATGATCACGCACAGCGAGAGGGCGAAAAGAACCGTCCTGCAAAAACATGTTTTCACTGGGAGTAAGGTTCCAACCCCCAGCCATCACCATTTCAGCTCCCATGATGGAAGCCTGCAGCTGAAAGTTTCCGAAATATTCGAAAACTCACGAAACTGATTGATGGCTTTGTCATGCCATGGTAAGACCTGAAGCGGCCAGCGGCCGGACCAAATACCGGTTCACAGTCCTGATCTCGCGTGAGCGTGACGGATCGGAGGACGGGTCGAAATGTCGATCGTTGCCGTTCTTCCTCTGAAGCCCCTGCCAGCTCAGCAACCCTTTGTTGCCACGTCTTGAAAACACTCATCACGACTGCGCTACAGCTGGAACAAATTGTTGTTGTTTTTGTTGTTGTCGCTGTTGGTGTCATCACTTTGAGTCGAAAGGTTGCTGACTATACCCTCGGAAGGTATAAAACATCATGTTTTGATGGCGTTTCGGAAACATTGTGTCTGCTGGACACGTCCTGCTTGCATTGATCTCATGGTCACACTCATTCATTACAGAGCTTCATGTGTATGCTCATTGTCTCTGTCTCCAGTGCCATGAAACCTGTTGTTTTTGTCCTGTGCCATTTTTCGTACATTTTGACCGGCCTCAAGTCTTCTGCATCTCTGTGAACGCACGAGGCAACCGGCAGGTGTGCTCGATCAATACCTTTCTTCTTCTGAAAATGTTGCACTCTAAAGCTACTGAATAAGACAGTCAATGACAGTCACTGGAATTGAAGATTCTATTCGGCCGCCAACATCCGCCAACCAACGTGCTATTCTTCAATTCTTGTACCAACCATATAGCCTTGTACACCACGAACGGTTGCAGAGTGGACGCTTAGCATAACAAGCGTTATGACTGCATCGTTTTCGGTTTAACAAAGCAATTCTTCGTTGAACCTAAGACCTCCGCCAGCTCCTGATCGCAGTGGGCGGAACCTTAACTAGCAGCCAGCTCCAGATTGCAGTGGGCACCACCGGACCTCGCCAAATAGAATTTCTGATTAAATGCGAGATAGAATATCAGAATACCGATTGTACACCAGATGGAATGCCAGGATATCTTTGATGGCAGAACAACTGTCGGAATACATGTCAGACAGGAAAAATGTCAAACCACACGCCAACAAAGATGTCAGAACACAGTCCAGAACGTTTCCCAGCCCTTATGATAGATGATGTATGACAAACCAGATTTGATGCCAGAACAAGCGTCAGAACATTGTGTCAATCCGCACAAATCGCCTTTCAGGGTGGGGGTCACTCGAAGTAAAGTCGGAACAGGTTTAACAAAAGCAGGGAACATCAATAATTAATTGCAGAAGCTGCTTCTTGAAAATCCACTTGATCATATATGAGACAAGTTTACTCAATCGTACTCTTTCAGTAGACAGAGTGCATGGATCAAACCCACCAAGCTCAGTTCCCTCTTGCGAGGGATAGGCCTACCAAATTGATCTAGCCCTAATCCAGGCACCTGACAACAGCTCTTGGCCACGCTTGGCGTGTTGACTCGGGTTCCAACCACTTCGTAACCATTTTCGAACCGAATGTGACAAAAGGGTAGTAATTAACTTGAGTCCCGTGCTGTGACTTCCCAAGCAGCTTCCGGGGCTCAATGAAGACCAATCATATTCTTTACGATGCTTCGAGCGGTTCGAGTTCTCCCCTTCTCCCAGACCATCCATGCGACTGGAGTTATTGGGCGCCACATATGTCTGTGGCTCTCACCACTCCACGCGGTCGTAACTCCGTCCCATTCGTCTGGTCTCACTCACCTGCACCTCACGGTCGACCTCGGGCCCCGCCTGGACCTGCGAAGCCGGGTGATCCATAAGGCACGCACATGATCTCGCGCCTCCAGTCGAAAGTGGCAGGTCAGTGAAGAAAGAAAACGTGCAAGTGCAAGAAACCCTTTTTGTAGGTGGACAAAAAAACAAGTGTTGCATGTGACTACATCTATCTAGGGTATTTTGAGGCTACCATTACTACCACTCGCATATCATACATGGATCATAAGTGGCAGGTCCTAAAGGTCTCTAAACCATCTTTGTATGGAATATATGCCTCCATGGTCTATTGAGTTGAACCCTTTTCAACAACACCAATGTAGATATATAAATATATATAGTAATATATTATGTGTTTAGGGGCTTGGCTGAGGATTGGAACCATCTTTTGTACAGTAAATACCATATTATATATACCATATATGAATAATACATGTATATATATATAGGTTTTTTGGACTGTTTTTTTGAATATGCTGGTGAGGGACCTGGAGAAGACTCTACCCTCCAAGTCTGTCCTCGCGTGCCCATGGCAAATTCCCGTTTCCCCCTCGCAATGTTGCGAACGAACGGATCCTCCTATCATTGCAGCTCCCAAGAGGACTGTAAGATATTCTCAGACCCACACACTCTGCTAAAAACAATGCACAGGATTGACTGTACATGTTGGTGTGGGGGGGTTTTCATGTCTACATGTTTCTTCTTGTCGCTGAACTCCAATGGAGCACATGTTCCAGCTTCACACAAAGCAAAAACAGCAAAAATGGATTTGATCAGCCCTACATTCTCCTCAAAAGCTTGGTGGGATGTCACTCACACGCCAAGAACGGTTCGGCCGACCTTTTGACGTAACAAAACGAGCAACCGTGGGATGAAAAACGATGATTGACATGCAGCGGGGCCATCACCAAGCAGCACCACATGGAACTCTCTTCAAAAACACATAGTAATATAGGCTATAGGGGCTCCAACGACTATACAGGGACAAAACAAAAAAACATTCATTGGCTTTGCCGAACATGACTACCTTCCCGCAGCTGGGATTTTCGCAATGAATTTGCGAACTTTGGAAGTTTTAGGAGATTTCGGGACTAAGCAAAACAATTTTGCAGTGCGAGAGCACGGTTCAATGGGCTACAATACTTCTGGACACAGGGTTTCATCGATTTCGCGTCCTATAGGTTCTATTTTTGTCACGCTCCATAGTCGACGTGAAACGGTATTTGATAAACAAATCATATCGAAACTGCGTCAGTGGAACCACTCCATATCATTCCATTCTTGCATTGATATTGACTCTGTCCCAACAACTCAATGGGACAGGAGTCCTGACTCCCAAGAACAGGCCTCATAAACCCAGGGGTGGACCTGGGATCGTAAGTAAATCCAATCCCAACCCAAACGCTCCATGGTCGACTTGCAAATGAATCTAACATATTCACCTCGTTTCAATCAAGTTATGTAGCGCAAAATTGCAATTATCGGGAGATCATGGAAGTGTCTGTTTCCCTGCAATCTCTGGGTCTTTAGGCGGTCCTTTTAGCACTTGGCTCTCTCCTTGCGACCGCCGCCGCCAGCGCGCCTCATTGTCCAAGCTTGCGCCGCCATGCTGCCCGGAGCACTGCGCACCCAGCGGAGGCAGGAAGCCTTGGTCGTCGGTGCATTGCAAACATTGAGGGGGTGGCAAAAGGTGGTCAACATAGGCGTATGTTGGGTCTATCAGTCCATCCTATTATTGCCAGTAACAGTGGATGATGATGGTTAGGTTGCAGACCTTGTTCAAAAAAAGTGATCACTAATTACAGGGCCTGTTACAGGTCAGTTCGGACACCCAGAAGGCATATATGCTCCATACATGGATGTTGTCGGGAATCCACCTTTCAAGCGTTATTGGTGGTTGGTGGCCACTGCTCACTGCTGAACATTTCGAGGTTAACACATTCCATGCACCACCCACACCCTCGCATAACGCCGCGGCCGGCCGCAGACCCGCCACTCGACCGGCACTTCCCTCGCCGAAGGGCTCCTTCCTCTTCAGCGCCATTCACCAAGAGCTCCAAACCTCACTGTCGTTCGCCGGTCGTTCGTCGGGAAGTTTAGGCTATGCTTCGCTGTCTTGGTCAGAAGTAGGTGAGCTAATAACCGTATTAAAAATCTCCATATACCTGGGCGATTAGTTGTCACAATCTTGATAGACGGCCATTACATTTCGTGCATTTGAGCATATTTGTGGATGGTTTCTTTGGCACTTTCGAGGTGTCCTTCAGAGCCACTAGGGAAATGTTTGATGTTTTTTTCGGCGCGAATGCAAACACAGTTGATGCTATTATTGTGTTGCGTTCAATTGAAGTTGCCAACGATGTTGATGTTACAGTGGGCATGAGTGGGCTGGTTGACGTTCGGGTGAAACACAGTTGAAGCTGCTCTTGAAGAAAAAAACAAACAGAAACAAGGCGCACTGCCGACTGAGAGGCAACCGATGCAATTGTGATACTGCTGAGATGGACCATCTTAGAAAGGTCAGAGCTTGGGGCTGTTATTATACACTCACGCGTATATGATACACTGATACGTTCTCTTGGTTTGGTATTTCTACATCGATGTGCTTGTTGGGTATACCAATGGGTTTGATGACAAAGTCTTGGACCCTTGGACCGGTAGACCTGTGCGCCTCACTGGCTCTATGAGTTGCGCGGATGGCTGACGCAGGCACCCGGATCACTTTAGAACAAACAAAATATAACAACATAATGCCCCCCTGGTCCTGTGATTTAGATGATACGGAGCACCAAGGTTCGAACCCAGTGTCAGGTACATCCGCTCTGCAAAGTCGGCTTGAGTGCCAGATTTGAAGAAGTAGCCTTTTGGCGCATACAGCTTTGAGCGCGCGGCCTGTTTACGCGTTCATGATCGTTCATGAGTTTCTCAACCCCAAAGCTGAAGCCCGAAACACTCCTCCGTACAATGCACGTTGCACGCATTCTTTAAAGCTCAAGGATCTGTGGAGCAATACTGTCCACATGCTTGAGAAATCCTGCCAAACATTTCTTGAACTCATGCTCCGGTCTGGGCTGCAAGTCATCCAACTTCCAGAAGATGGACGTAGAGTATTCTTTGCCGCTCTTTCCGGACAAAATGATATCAACATAAGTGGGGATGCGTTTGATGAAGGTACACCACGCCTTTTTCGTGTGATTGACCTTCACCATGCCTGCACTGTCCACCAGCTGTTCACCATGTGCCTCAAAGGCATTCGGCAACTTCTGGAAGAAACTCCAGTTCCCCACTGTTCGCATTTCTGTAGTCGACATTGGATGTGGATGGATGTGGAATGGCTGGATGATCGGGCTCCAGTGACGCTCACCGAGCACGTACTACCAAAGCTGAGGAATGTTCAGGTTGTTGAACAAATGTCCAGAATATGAATTCATTTCTCAGGTCTGATATATAGTAGTGCACCTAAGGTTTGGCACCTTCCTTCATCAAAACAAACGTGTTTTTTTTAATCGCCTAGGTCTTAGTCTTGTATTTTCTGCCAAACTCTCGGTTGAGCCATTTGTGCTGCCTTGGCCTGATTAAAGTCACGAAAGCAAAGCAAAACAAAAACAACGCCGACGGGGCGGGGGGAAATTGTAACTTGCTCTGTGAGGTACCCACCCATCCATTTTTACAATTTGGACACCCCCTTCCTTTCCAAGTCTCAAGAAGTAGGCCAAGACCTCTTTGAGGGAGGGGTAAAAAAAGTAGCATCCTCAGATAGGCTACCTCAACCCTATATAACAATTTTCACCCCCCCCCCCTATAGGCTTATATAATGCTATTGTCGTAAAATCAAACATTGTAAATTACAAATTTGACCCCCTGGGGGGTCAAGCACCGCAAGGGGGTAGTGATTCTTACAGGCTTTCTTTGGGGTTAGGATAGGATGCTTGTTGAAAAGGCATGTTTGTTGAAATGGCCTCCTCGTTGAAGAGGACTCCAGTTGAACCCAAGTGGGTCACTCATCGACCCGCGCCGTGAGCAGCAAATAAGTTGAAACAAAAGCAACAGAACCCACCAGAAGCCATCAGTCACCAAAAGGGAACCAACAGTCATCAAGCGAGCGAGCATGCCATGCCCAGCATGCAAGTCAAAGCACAAGCAACAAAAAAAGAAACACAGAAGCAGCATCAAAGCAAGCCCATGCAGCAAAAGCAACACATTCTGGAAGAAATCACAATCAAGTTCCCTTCAAAAAAAGGTACCAAAGTTATTTGCTTGCCTTACGCTATTTGCCCGTCCACTTTCACCGTCACATCCCGATCCAATCATCCACCTTTTTGCAGCTTATCGCTGCGGACACGCGGGTGCTCCACTCACCAAGCCGCCGGAATGAGATTCAATGCCCAAGAGAAGGTGAGCGTCCTGCAACGCCGTGGTCTCCACCTGGACGGAGACGTCGAGATCGCGAACTGCATGGCTTCGGCTTCGGCTTCGGCCGAACTGAACGGTCGACCAAAGGAAGCACATGATTGACGGTATGTATATTAAATATTGGGAGACCTCCCAGGCATCCTGACTCATCCCCTGGAAGGAACATCGACCCGTCTATACCCAGCCAGGGTAGACTGGGAGTCTCCCGGTTGTAGTCATACAATGTCATACACACCCTGTAGTCTTGTAGGCATGACGTCCATTGGCCAGTGAGTGAATTTCCATGTGCTGCTAGCTTTTGGGGTGGACCCACACCACCAGAACACGCCCACCAAGGGTGACCCTCGAGACGAAACGACCATGTCCATGAAACATTGGGAAATGAAACATGACTTGTTGGTGGCTTAAAACATGTTTAAATTCACTTGAAACATATTGGTCATCATCACAAGTGAAGGTTGAAAACAATTCCGAAAGCACCACCTAAGGAGGGGTTAGCGGTTAGCTCCAATCAAACACTCGTTGGCGCTTCGTGATGATTTTGTTGTTAAGATGACTCGCAAAACACATCAGCTGCAGCTCATTCTGGGACTTGACCAGCTCTTAGAATTGCGAAGGATGACTAGACAGGACAACTGAGTCTTTCTGCGCGCTACCCTGTTCCGAGTTTTGGAAGGCCAGAAACTGAGGAGACTTTGGAAGATTTGGATGGTGATTGGGCGCCTGCACAAGCAGCTTGGTGCATGTCTGGCAGCTTGGTGATTGGGGATGGAATGGGCACACTTGAACCACTAGGCTTGTCTTGATCATCTGCGGATGTCTGGAAAAAAAACATCCCAAAGATGTCCAGGTTGAGGGCTAACAGATCAAGCGGGGGAGGAGATGTGCAAATCAAATGAAGAGACTGATGGTCGACCGGCGCGGTCGTGTAAGGAACCGACTGAACCTTTGGGCTGTGGATCACTCACTGGTACGTAGAACGCAGTGGCACAAGATGACAATGAAAGCATATAGTTAAAAACATCCAGCCATCAGTGGAGTTTGACCTGTCGTAAACTTGCAGGTTCAAAAAATAAATATGACACCCTAAATGTCGACTCTTGAATTAATTTGACATATGGAGCGCTGGAAAAAACACTAAAACACCATTCTCGTTGGAGCTTGCTTTTTAAATCAACAGTCTACATCACCGCACCAATCCTCTCCAATCCCCGCAGCGCTGCCCCGCGGCTCGTCCACCTCCACCAAGAGCGGCAAGGAGAGCGTCATGGGCACTGCCACGTACTGCAGATGATCCCTCCCCGACGCCTCGTCGCACATGCCAGCGCACGCGGCGCGTTTCGGAGGGTAGGAAACACGACCTGGGGCAGCCTGGGGCTTGGGAGCAGTACAAACAAGGTCTAGTCTAGTCCGGATAGGAAACAAACGGCACAATTCAAACCTGGTTGAAAGATGTTGAAAGTACATGAAAGTACAACATTCAACCTTCAGTGGTTTTTTTGCTGGCAAATCCTGAGGCACGATACAACTTGTTGCAGAATTTTTGGCTGGACGTCAAATGGTGCCAGACTTGCCAGAGTTGCATCCTCAAAACCCTTTCCTACAATACAAAACTTGGACACTTGGCATTTCTACAGTTTCCCAGGGTCCCTCAATCCAAACACAAAAAAAAGTCCACCCTCAACTCAGTGAACATTGCAACCATCTCTTACCCATGAACCAGCAGGCTGCCTAAGCCAAAAAATGAACAACAAACAAACAAATTACTTGCAGCAATTGAAGACTCAACTGCAACGTTTAAAACGTCCCTCGAACAGAATAGGAATCCCTAGGGATCCAAGTACCTTCTCAGCACCATGTAGGTGCCAGGAGGGTCCAGTCGTACCGAACCTGAGGTTCGGTACGACTGGATCATAGGGAATGCACCTATCGACCAACTATTTTGTCGGATTTGGACCACGACTGCAGCGGAGTGAAAAGCGGACTGCACTTCTTTTGCTCCACAGAATCTGCCATGGGAAAGGTAAAGGTGGGTGGGTAGTAGACACGTCTACTGCATGTGTGCATCATGTTTGATGCATCTCATGTTCACACAACACTGATGTAGCATGTGATTACAATTGATTAATTACATGTAAACCAATAGTTCACGATGCATCCTAAATGTATATCTATATATAATCTAGTTACGTTTTAGGATTTCTTCTAAACCAACGGTGCCACTCCGACGGTTGGGCCACCGCAGCCTGACACCGCAGCGTGGCACAAGGGCCGAAGAGGGCTTGGAGGCCCATCCTCAGGACTGCAGATCGTTCCCAGGCAGAAACCGTGTCCGAAACATTTTGGATTGGACAGCGGCCAGCACTAACCCTAGGGATCCAAGCACCTTCTCAGCAGGTGATGTGTTCGACACCGGTGTGTAGGTTTGGAGGGTCCAATTCTTTAATTTGCAAGGTCGCTCCACATCTACGACCAGTCGTTTCATCATTCAGCCCGGCATCCTCCAAAAAACAGGATCCATATATGAAAATATATAGTTCAAATGAGTTCAATCGTGGTCTCTGCCCGCCAGTCCAAGCCCAAGAGGTCGGCCGGACATTATGGTCGACCGGTTGGGAAGAGGTTGGCCTACTCCCCGACCTGGTGCCAAGGGACGTTTTGGCGGCCAACACGGCCTGATGAACCGTTTGGCTGTGAAGATGCCTTGGTGAAGACAACGCAAGCACTGCACAGAACTTTGACATGGACAGGCAAATGAGTCATGACCGCTTTGGTTGCCGAAACACAGAACTGCCAAGAAACCAAGGGAACATACTTAATATACTTTCAGACTTGGACCCTCCAAACCTACATAACACCCACACAACAATGTCTCCAATCACTGTCTCAAAGGGTTATCCTTGGAAAATCGATTTGGTAGGCCTGCTAGTTTCAAGTCACTTGGAAAACCAATTGTTCTTCATTCACTGCCGATCTGAGATGCGCTCGTGGCGTTAGCTGCGGGGAAAAGCATGGAACAGCTAAATTAAAGGGCAGTCACAAAGACCGCGGTCAACCATCATGCAGCAACCTCAGTGTAGCAACACCAAGGTCGCGGACAAAGCACTCCGTCCCACCAATAGTGACCACAGGAAAATTTTCACGTGTAAGATCCTGCTTGGTGCGTTCACTCTCAATGGCGAGTCCTTTGGAAATGCAGCGATGAGGTTCCATGATGTCCAGTTTGCTCAAACGTTGAATCCAAACTGCTAAATTGTGGGACTCTCGCAGCATCCTACCCTCTTCACTGGTCTCAATGGCCTGTTGCCACCAAATGGAGTTGGCACGCTCCCCTTCCATTCGCCATGTGAAAAAAACAGTCGAAACCTGTTGAGGGGTTAACCCTTCCACTTCCGGAATGAAGCCTTCCAGCCCATCCAAGAAGGCAACCTCAAGCGCTTCGAAGGTGCCCCGGCATAAAGCTGAAATCACTCACTCACTCACTCACCACCGTCACCACACTTCATCGCCACCATCACCTCTCTGGACCCCAATGCGTCTAGATCTCACACACACTGTTTGGGGTCTCTTGCCGGGATAATTCTGTTGCCAAAGGCTTGTTATGTGTAACTCAGGTACCTTTCGAGTCAAGGGAGCGCCGATACGGCTATTCGGGCGTGCCTTTGGCAATTTCCTCCCCTCCCCTTCCTTTGCCTTTCTCTCTTTTCTGTGCTTTTCGTTTGTTAGGCCCGCTTCTCGAGGCTTGTTACGTGGCCCTTCAGGTTTAGTCGATTCTTCCTCTTATCCTCCCCCCCCACCATCCCACCGCACCTTTCTTTCCTGTTTTTCTCTTCGTTTGTTGGGTCTGCCTCTCGAGGTGAAACTTCAGGCTCGTTTAGTCGATTCTCCCTCTTTTTCATCCCCCCCCCGCCACCCCACCGCACCTTTCTGTTTCTCTTCGTTTGGTAGGTCTGCCTCTCAGGTTTTTTAGAATTAATTTTGAGGTTTCTTAGTCCGGAGCTTTGTTGCGGCTTCATGTGTGCGTCCAACCCTACAAGGGCTCACACAATTTAAAGTACAGTCGAAGCAGGGGCAGGACCACCATTGCAAGTTTCCTGCCAACGAAGACACTTGCAATCGGCGGTGAAAGCAGACCAAATCAGTCTGGCGTACCTGCAAGGTTGTGATGTTATCCGAGCTGTTTACCCCGCTCTTCCGTAAAGGGCCAACGCGCTTTGTTGAAACATTCTGTTCTTCCAGCCTGTCGCCATTCCGTTCTGCAAGTCAAGGTCGAATCTTCAGTAACATATAGGGCTATTAGCATCACCCAACAATCACAACTGACAATGCTCTTGCAAGCCTATATCTAAGTGTGTGTGTGTGTGTCTATTCGTTCTTGAGGTTTATGGGCAAAAAATCATAGAGAATAGTCAACAAAGGAAGCGTTCTTGCCGCGAATCGCCTTGGCAGGGCTGCGCAATGTGAATATTGATGTGCAGATTTCATGGCAGGCGCACTACTTTGTGGACCTTGAAGCGCAGTTTTCGTGGCAGGCGCAGCGCTTTGTGAACCTTGCAGTGCAGATTTCGTGGCAGGCGCAGCGCTTTGTGGACGTAGGCTTCAGCTTCAACTTCCTGCCATCTCCTGGCTTTGGTTATAGGGTGAACAGAGGCGTCGCTTTGAGGAAGCCGCGCAGGAGCTGCCCCAGAGTAGAAGCGAGATGACGGTGGGGAAGGTCTGGGCGAAGCTGCGTTCCTGAAGTACACGAAAAAAACCTCTGGCAGCCAATGACTCTCTCAGCTCTAACAAATCCTCCTCCAGCACTTGCCGGTCTTTGCTATGCACTCCGCATCTCTTTGGCCCGCAGATGCGCAGAGCCTCTCTTCTCTTAAGGCCGGGGAGCATCAAGCTCCAGATGAAAGGGGAGGTACACATTTCAGGCGTCCCTGAATGCTTCCACCAGTCTTCTGTAGCTTCCTTGGGCAACGTAAGAAGACTGGCCGTTGCCCCCCTGCTTGGAACGGTGGTGAATTATGCAATGCAGGTTCCTTAGAAACAGGTGTGGACACACACACATCATCATGGGATGAAAGTGCGCAAATTTCTTTGACCCACTACCATGAAACAAGGTCAAGGCGCAAGACAGTCCTCAACAGATTCGCACGTGGGGAGCAAGGCAGTGGCACCAAGTTCATGAACCATCGTCTCAACATTCAAGTTGAAAAACCGCCTCCACATCAACGTACAAACGCGTTCTCCTGAATACCAGTGGAAAGCAACTGTTTGCCCAGCTACCATTTTTCTCATGCCCTTTCCGCTCGAAGACCGCGCTTCAGAGATCTTGGTGCCCTTCACAATCCCCGTTGCATGGCACGTTTTAATGGTCAAAGTAATCGCAGCCATCTACCCAAACAGCTAACATGCGCACTATGTTCAAAATGAAAGGACCACAGCGTCCTCTCAATAGACTGATTAGAAAAGGTGAAAGGGTAAAAACCAGGGTCCGGCTCCACGATCACTTTATACATGAGAATCCTTTCAATTCAACAAGATCATTTCATATAGAACATTGCCCATGAGCACAGCTGAATTGGCACCCCCCACGACAGCTCCATTGTCATAGAGCCCTTTCTGCACTCCCTACCTAAGTCAAATTTTTTGGCATAGGAGTCCTCAAGTCCTCCAAGCGGTTGTCCAAGCATGGAACTGAGTTGGACCCTTGGTTTCCCTGCAATCCAACAAACAGGACACTGTACGGGACCAGGCGGTGCGTAAAATTCAAGGGCCAACCCTTGTAAATGCATGTGGTCCATGTCGGGCCAGATTGACTCAGCAATCTGGCGCTCCACTTCATCTGTCATCCGAAACGACCAGCCACGCTCATTTGCATCCTTCCACTCTGCAACAAACCCACGATTGGGATGGAAGCCGGCACGGCCTTCGGACAGGATCAGGAATAGTAGGAGGTCTCCAAGTTTCACCCTAAACTCCCTGAAAGCTGCATCAGAATCTACTGTAGCGTCGAGCCTCAACTTGTTGACGCCTACAAGAAGGTTGTAGCGATCCAGTTTCCATCGTCACGCAGTGCAATGTTGCTTGGAAGTAGGATCCCTCCAATATAGAGGACGATTGCAAGACAAAGACCCAGGGGTTAATGTTGGATGCTCATATGCTGCAACTGATCCAATCAGGACTGAGGGCTCAACTTGCGCGTAGTTGTTCACCCCACGAAGAAAGACTTTTGAGTTTGGAGCTGCAGCACAATCCCAAGCAGTCCCACGGAAAGAGTTCACCACAATGGGAGAATCGGGGGAGCTCTTCGTCATACTGCGCAGCTAACAGCCATGCAAAGCACTAGGGATGTAACGCAAATATGATTGCCGCCAAGCTTGTGACCAGTAAAAACGAAGGCACACTGGGCATAGGGGTGTAGAGATCAGTGCATGTTCAGGTGCACGGAAACCATGAGCTCGCCCACAATGTGTTGCGAAGGCCCTCTCGGACCCAAAACGAGCCCCGCACCCACAAACAACTACATCTTAACCCTTTCGTGTTTGAACCGTCTTTGTTGAAACACGGCCAAGCAGCGCAGTCATTTTCACCAAGCGTTTCCAGCCTTGCCGCTTTTCCACGTGACTTGGAGGGCCTCCCAACAAGTTCCCCCATGCCCATCCAAGCCAAATCAGCCTGAAAGGCCTGCAGCCACTGAGTGAAAGTGGGAGAGTGAGAGTGGGAGAGTGAGAGAGTGAGCTCTGAGAGCACAAAGTACTGCGCCTGCCACGAAATCTGCACTTCGAGTGTCTGCCACGAAATCTGCACTTCGAGGTTCACCATGCGCTGTGCCTGCCACGAAATCTGCACTTCGAGGTTCACCAAGTGCTGCGCCTGCCACGAAATCTGCACTTCGAGGTTCACAGAGTGCTGTACCTG